CCTTTACCCATATCGTTCTGTCTCTCTTTTGTCCAGTCTCTCTCTCTCTCTCTCTATATATATATATATCTCTCTCTGTGTCTCTTCCCAGCTGACAATTTCACGTTGTCACAACGTTATGCTTTCGTTGTTACAACGTTATTCTATGGACATTTTACGTAGCCACAGGGAAAGGTTATTTGATGCTAGGGTATTTTACGTTGTCTTAACGTTCTATTTAACGTTAATAGTTGAATAGTTTTCCCAGTAGTGAACAGTACATTTTACTTCAGTGTTTATTCGTCAATTTGCGTGTTGTTTTGGTCGAGTGTTTTCTGGAGCTGTAGCTGAATAGCGAAGAAAGAATCTCAAGCGAAATGTTCTCCAGAAAACTCTATCGTGACAAGTTGTAAGACACGCTGTTTTAACGTTGTAGGGAGCCTAAAGCATAACGTTTCCTCAACGTAAATTTGCAACGTTGTTATTACGTTGTGACATAACGGTATAATATGACGTAATACTTACGCTGTGACAATGTTGTGTCATGACGTTACCAACCTACAGCCTTGCCACAACGTTGTGAAAACATTGTGTGTTAGCTGGGTTGTGTGTGTGTTTATTACTCTCCTTATCTCTCTTTCCGTGTATTCCTGTCTCTCATTTCGTTCTGTGGCTCAATCCCAACTCTCTCTTTCTTTCTCTATGTGTGTCACTCTGCCCGCCTCTCGCTCTGCCTGTCCGTCACGCTCCATCTCTCTCCACCCTTCTCTCTTTCTCTCTCTGCCTGTCTGTCACTCTCCTTGTTCGTCTGTCTCCGTCTCGATAGTAGCAGTTGAAAATACTCCAGGAGCTGACACGTCCAGCTGTTGTGTGTTGTACCAGACCCAGTGTACATTAAATGAAATATATTACATCTTAACATCAGTACAGGATTTGTGATACTACTGTTATGTCACCATGTTGACACCGTTGCAATATTGCAATCTCAACGCACTACAAAGCATCAACGACATCATCAAGCTCACACATACATCTCGTATTTATTCCTACAGTTTCAGAATGGCTCGCGCTCCCTCCGTCTGGATGCACTACAAAGATTCGTTCCCTGGCGACATCATCCGCAACGAGGTCTTTGTCCCGAAAGATGGCTTCGTACTAGATACATACTACTGCACGTTGAGCTGGAATGGCGGAATGGAGGGTGGAGGGTACTGTGGACTTCAGGATCACCCCAGGGGAAAAGCTTTCATCTACTCAATTTGGGACCCCAAGCAAACGAAGAACGTTCCCATCAAAGCAGCCTACAAGGGACTGTGGACTGAGACCGCCAACTTCGGTGGAGAGGGTACTGGACTCAGATCCATGAACTTCTCCATCGGCTGGAAGCCGGATCAATGGTACACCTTGGTGTCAAGAGTTTGGGACGTCAATAATCATACCTTCTTTGGCTTCTGGATCCATGACCAAACAGGTCACCATTGGACCCACATGGTCACCATGGACTTCCCGGTCAAGCAGGTCAGGTTTAATTCAGACACCAGCCTTTTCTTAGAAGACTGGGCAGGGACTGGTCAGAACGCACGAAAAGGTCACTACCGTCAGGGTTTCAAGAGGAAAGATGGCGGCAGCTGGTTTCCATTCACCAAGTCGACCTTCAGTGTCGTGGTGGAGGCGTCTACTCACGACCACGCCAACAATTTTGACGCCGGGGTCGGGAAAGACTACTACTACATGGCCAGCGGAGGCCACGTCCATACATCACCAGGGATTGGAATTCACGCAAACTTGGAACTACCAAGCCACAATGCTTCTCCTTCCGACCCTCCCATCAGCTTCAGCATCACCAAGGCTAAGCCGGATCTTGTGGAGTGGCAGGTTCCAGCGTCGTCCACACCGCAGTTCCACTACAGCATCGTCCGGAACGGCACACAGATTGCTTCAGGGGCTGACACAGAGAGACGAAGCCACCAAATACATGGAGCTCGAGCTGGTGACACCCTGGAGGTCCATCTTGAGGACATCATGGGGAAGACAACTACCAAGTCTGTGAGGATCTCAGCCTAGACAGGGATCTGGTTCACTATGATGATGGCTACAGGAGGACATCGTCTGTTATGGTCTTGGCCCGTGAAGGAGAACTGCCTCACCCTGAGGACATGTAGGGAAGGACATCGACCAGGTATGTGAAGATCATGTCCTATACAACCTTCACATTGAGGACATCCCGGATTACATCTTGGAAGACTGTTAATGTGTCAAACAGTTTGCAATAACTACCAATTAAGTATTGTATCCGTATTTAACATAATATGTGTATGTAGCTTCAGTTATGCTTAAGGGTAGAAACTTAATATATTCCATATATATGAGCGTGCTATGATGTACCCGGAAAAACGATTCAGCACTCAGTAAATGTAGCATGTATTTTTCATTTACCTTTTGTTGAACACTACTATTCTAGAAATATATTGATATATTGGATGGATATATTTACATATTTGATGTATAACATATGATATATTTGAAATGAGTAATGGAAAAATTCAATAATGAAAATGATATATTATATATCAATCATAGTATCTTTTATTAAATGCACGCTAATTGAACTGATTGAATGCTATGTAAAAATGAGGTTAAATGATAAAGGAAATGTTTAGGGTGTCTGTTATTTTATCGAAAAAATAAAATCTACCAAAGTATGGAAGAAACAATTGTCTCTCACAAAAAATGTTGTAAGTCATTGTTTGAAAAGTAAACAGGTTCATTATTCTATTAAGATATGAGGTTTTGCATCTGTAGCAGAAAAGTATCAAGTTTCCATGGGAAATTCCAAACCCGGTTCTCCACAGAACAGGAAACAGTCAGTTACGGATGATTCATTTATATTTTGCGTACAGCTTTGCGGGATACAAAGACGAGGCCTCGTTTCTTAAAACTAATGTATTTGAACATTCAAAACATTTTCAACAATAATAGAAAAGTGTTTATGTTTCCACAAAATGCAACTGACATGTGCATTATTGTAAACAAGGAATATATACAAAATACAAGATAAGATGATACTTACCTTCACCATCATTAGGGTTACACAGTTACCATGACGGGATGATTCTATGGAAAACAATTACATTGTAATTAGTGTCTCCTGTCTCACTTTCGTCTTTGGATTCAGCGCCACACAGTAATCTCCCTAAAGACATCATCCATATGTGTTCATCAACTGTTAGTACTAGCTTTCCTACATAAACTTTACATGTTTATACATAGTGTTCAGGATATGTTTGTTATTTGCAATCAAAACTGTGCCTTATCCCATGTGTACGAGTAATCATTATGTATAATTACGTTCTTAATAAAAAAAATGGTTCATTTGTTGAAATGTGTTTCTTTTCTGTAAAATATATAAGCGTGAGTGAGTTTAGTTTTACGATGACCACTACAACAACCTTCACTATCATCAGCATCACCGCAACCACTACCACCACCAACACCACTTGTAAACTACTACTACTACTACTACTACTACTACTACTACTTGGAGGATAGGTAAACAGGAGAATAATGGGTGAATTTCTGGAGCCGTAGTATTGCTGGTATGTTGGTGAAAGCGGCGTAAATACATACTAACACACCAACAGTCACGCATAGAATATGTCAGTTCTTGTGGCCGCTTTTGGCAATATTCCAGCAATATCACGCCGTGGACACCAGAAATGGGCTTCACATATTGTATCCATTTGGGGATTCGAACCCGGGTCTTCGGCGTGACGAGCGGACGCTGTAACCATCAGGCTTTAAAGAACTGAAGTTAGTGGACACTGGAGTAGTTTACTATGTTTGTCTATCTGAACACAAGTGAAAATAGGTTTAATATTTCAGCAATTACTACAGTCAGTCACATCTTATCTTATCTATCCACCTTAGCAGATTTCCAGTTAGCCTGGGCACCGTGGTATGGGATATCTAGCAAACAGTCACTCTGTACCCTCAGGTCGAGCTGATCCATGATGGTGGGGGTAGCGTTGTGCTTAATGGGATTCGTCCTCGGGGTGGCAGGTAAGGGGATGCTCTATCCCCGGGAGTCTGAGAGTAGAGATATGAAGAACCTGGACGGTATGTGGAACTTCCGCGCTGATTCGTCACCCTCCAGGAAACAAGGCTTTGACCAAAACTGGTTTAAGTCGCCATTGTCTCAGGTGAGTACTCGGGGGAAGTAGACGCTAGTGTGTACACAGAGTGAGTGAGTGAGTGAGTGAGTGAATGAGTGAGTGAGTGAGTGAGTGAGGTTTTAAGCTACTTTTAGCAAAATCCCAGCAATATCACGAAGGGGGACACCAGAAGTTGGCTTCACACATTGTACCCATGTTGGGGAATCGAACCCAGGTCTTCGACGTGAAGAGCGAACGCTGTAACCACTAGTCTGTCTACCTTACCGCCCCCACAGTACTCACATGGCAAGTATATCGATTTGTATCGATTGAATGTTCCTGCAGTTTTGCAGTTTCAATCTTATCAACGTGCCAAATTTAGCCTGCTTTGTATCTCATTTAAATTAGAACTGAACCAGTCAATGTTAACACGCATGACAAGGACGTTTGAAGTACAAATGTCTCATCATTGTGGAAATTGCCGAAATAAGACAATTTCACTGGAAACAGTTTTCTTAAAACCCAGTCTGGCTGACTTGATTGACACATGTCATCGTTGATCACTGAATTGGCTGGTACAGACTCAGTTATTTACAGACCGCCGCATTTAATTAATAGCTGGAATATTTTAAGTTGTTCACTGGTCTCGAGGGTGACACGGGCTGATGTACACTCGATGTTTGTCGTTTTCTGATTGGCTGAGCGCTCTTCTATTATTTTCAATGTTTTTCTCAGCTTACAAGCGAGTAACATTTTCTATGTACCCCGCCGGGAATGCTGAACTTATTTGGTACTTCTTAGTAGTAATTCTTTATGTCGAATAACATTGGATCACGTATGATGTACGGAAATTACCGATGTTTTGCGAATGCAAACGATGGAAGGGAGATAACTCTAAATTTGTTTTTCTTGTCGTCTTCTCATCTGGTACTCCATACTATGATCCGATACCCGTGCTTCAAATAGTTCAAAATTACCATTGATAAATACGTTGTTCACTGGTCCCTCTTGAGACCAGTGAACAACTTATAGTGTACCGTTAAACAACAACAAACAAACCCCTGAGGGCTGAAATTCCGGTTTCACATACTATTCGTAGATTTCATGAATGAATCATATTTTTATACATAATCAGTATCTATCTATATATAATCCTGGATTGATGATACAGACACGAATACACGTCGGGGGACGCAACAAATGGGCTTCACACAATGTACTCTTGTGGGGAATCGAGCCCTGGCCTTCGGCGTGACGAGCGAACGCTTTAACCACTAGGCTACTCCACCGGCCACGATGATATCAACCAAATCAGCGTACCTGACCCTCTGATCCCGTTAGTCCCCTCCAGAAACAAACATGATTTGAAAATGACTAGCTACTAGGGCTGTGTAATGGCAATACATTGTTTAGCAATATATTGCGATTCAGGTACCCGTATTGCGATATATTGGGAGCTTGAATGTTTGACAGTGAGTGATATTAATTGTGTATGTCAATCCTATTTTCTACATTATAAGTCTCTGAACATATACTCATGCCAATAATGGTTGTCACCCCCTCCCCACCCAACCCCACACACACCTCACACCCCACCCCACCCCTCTCCAATTAAAAAATTGAAGGGGTGACAACCATTATTGGCATGAGTATATTATGTTATGGTTCTGATAACAGGTTCTGATAAATTAGGTTGCGTAGTCAGGGATTCTATTTTCTCTTTTATACAATTTATAGTATCACAGTATGCTGATTTGTTATTGAATAACAAAGGAAAACATTTGCTGTGAATGATAGCCTGGGTAGATTTTAATTTAAACCATAAAGATAATCACAAAAACTTCATATATGTTCTTCACCCAATATACTGGTTCTCAGAAAAACATATTGCAATACGTATCGTTTGAAAAGTGTATTGAGATATACCGGTGTACCGGTAATACGGGGATTGTTTAAAGGTGGGTGAGTGAATCGTATTTTACGCCACAATGAGCAATATACCAGATATGTCACAGCAGCCAGTCAATAATCGAATCTGGTCCAGTCACATCAGTGGTCAATTGCATCAACAACGATCAGAGTTGTTGTATTTTTCGCCACTTGAAATAGAACCACGAAATATGGCTGTGGTTGATTACGATTAATGCTCATAAAATAAACCCTAGTAATTCCAGTGATAAGGAATAATACTTAAAAAATATTATAAAAATTGCAAAGTGCGTTCTTCAAGTCTATAAACATCGTAACTGAGTTTTGATCACTTTACAATCCATGGAATCTGTTGCACTTAGCAGTGAACTAACAATATCGGTCACATTCATGTCATCTCAAAAGAAAAGCATGGACAGTGTGGGGGACTTGTCCCAATTTGCCGCATTGTTGACTGTTGGCGATAGAAGATACCGCGGACTCTAAAGCTCCGACTTCTGTTCTTGGTAGTCTAGAAATTCATTCCTTATCGGATATATATTTTACCGCATCTTCTGTTTCTAACCATCACAAGAACGCGTTCTGGATTTTGGACTGGCTATGATCACGTGGTGAGGCTTTGGAATACAGAGGCCATTACATATGACTGATTAATGAGATGTTGTTTGTTTTTAGCTTGTTTGTTGTTTAACGCTGAACTAAGAAATATTCCAGCTATATGGCGGCGGCCTGTAAATAATCGAGTCCAGACAATCTAGTGATCAACAGCATGATCATCGATCTACGCAGTTGGGATATGATGACGTGTGTCAACCAAATCAGCGATCCTGACCCCCCGATCCCATAAGTCGCCTCTTACGACAAACATGTGTTGCTGAAGACCAATTCTAACCCGGATGTTCAGGGGTTAATGAGATGTAACAATACCACAGACTCTTAACGCGAATATAAGGATAAGCCTCGTTACATGGCAAAAAGGAACTTTGCTCACACTTACTTGCTAGTGATGATGTTTGTGTGTGTGTGAGTGACCCTCTCACGCCCGACACGTACTGTCAAAAAGGCCACGATTATCTCTGCACAGATGGGTCCCTTGGATATGCCAGGACGCAATAATTATGAGTTCGAATCCCACGCTCTGCATATAATCCTAGGTTTGTCAGCACCCTGTCCATGCTTGTGTGTTTCTCAAAGCGTATACACATCTAGGATCTGCGTCAGTTTTGCTTTATCCCCCACATTAGACTGACACGTTCATGCAGCAATACAAACGGATACAAACAACATGGCTGGGAACTCAACTCCGTCACACATACTTTAGAATGACTGCTTTAAAGTACGTTTTTTCTGTAGATTATAAGGACACCAACAATATGCCCAGAAAATAGGGTCCAAGGCAGTTATAACTAAGATAGTAATAGTTCAGTCTACAAAGACACAAAGACACAAAGAAAGACACACGCAGAAGTGGTCTTATAATAATTCATAAAAACACAGTAAATGTTTTACTGATAGGGTAGTTCGCGTGCTAGTAAACACACATTACGGATTACGGTTTCATTTAGTTCGTGAGTGTGACGTTTCACTACAGATTATTGTACCGTTGTCAAGCAGGATTGTAACATGGAGAGGGGGTGGCGTGTGTATAAATATGTAACAAAGAAACAACATAATTAACATCCCACTCACGAAACAAAAGACGTTGTTGTCAATAAAGTTTGTTAAAATATTGTACCCCCCAACTTCGAAAATGCCACCCAAAGACGTTCGTGTGTTCACTTTGCTGAGACAGAGCATGTGACCTCCACGGTTATCCCCACGCTGCAAGATTCGGTAGTTCGTATGCACAGTTTCTTGAGAGACAGCCTCTGACTCCCATGCCTGTCATTCCAGGGCTACTGGTGTGGTTGTTCCTGTACAATACATTTAGACATGGCCTGTGACCACCATTGCCTTCACCCTAGCCCTAGGATGTGGTAGTTCGTGTGTACACGTTACTGAGACATGTCACGCTACCCCTAACGTCATCCCCCAGCTGTAAGATCCGGTAGTTCCTTCTTCACCTTTATTTAGACAGGGCATGCGAACCCCATTGTCATCCCCCAGCTGTAAGATCCGGTAGTTCCTTGTTCACGTTTATTCAGACAGGGCATGCGAACCCCATTGTCATCCCCCAGCTGTAAGATCCGGTAGTTCCTTGTTCACCTTTATTTAGACAGGGCATGCGAACCCCATTGTCATCTCCCAGCTGTAAGATCCGGTAGTTCCTTGTTCACCTTTATTCAGACAGGGCATGCGAACCCCATTGTCATCTCCCAGCTGTAAGATCCGGTAGTTCCTTGTTCACCTTTATTCAGACAGGGCATGGGAACCCCATTGTCATCCCCCAGCTGTAAGATCCGGTAGTTCCTTGTTCACCTTTATTCAGACAGGGCATGCGAACCCCATTGTCATCTCCCAGCTGTAAGATCCGGTAGTTCCTTGTTCACCTTTATTCAGACAGGGCATGCGGACCCAATTGTCATCCCCCAGCTGTAAGATCCGGTAATTCCTTGTTCACCTTTATTCAGACAGGGCATACGGACCCCATTGTCATCCCCCAGCTGTAACATCCGGTAGTTCCTTGTTCACCTTTATTCAGACAGACAGGGCATGGGATCCGGTAGTTCCTTGTTCACCTTTATTCAGACAGGGCCGATCCGGTAGTTCCGGTAGTTCCTTGTTCACCACCCCATTGTCATCCCCCAGCTGTAAGATCCGGTAGTTCCTTGTTCACCTTTATTCAGACAGGGCATGCGAACCCCATTGTCATCTCCCATCTGTAAGATCCGGTAGTTCCTTGTTCACCTTTATTTAGATGGGGCATGCGAACCCCATTGTCATCTCCCAGCTGTAAGATCCGGTAGTACCTTGTTCACCTATATGTAGACAGGGCCTGTGATTCCGATGCCCGTGCCCTCCAGCTTCAACGACATCACCCAGGACAAGGCGCTGAGGGACTACGTCGGCTGGGTGTGGTATGACAGAGAGTTCTTCGTCTCCTCGGACTGGCTGAAACACAGGGTCGTCCTCAGATTTGACAGTGCCCATTACTACTCCATTGTTGTAAGTTGTCACGTTCACCTTGTATTGTCCGATCTATGTACTGGAAATAGAAGGCAATCCGGTCAAAATACATAATATATTATTGTCTAACTGTACATATGGAGGGTGTTGTGCATATGGAAGGTGTGTGGCAGAATACACCTTATTCTGTGTTTGTCCACAGTGGGTGAACTCGCAGGAGGTGATGCGGCATGACGGGGGACATCTGCCTTTCGAGGAGGAAATTAACTCCTATATCACATTTGGCGGCAGTAACCGCGTGACGATCGCTGTCAACAACACCCTGACACCTCACACCCTCCCTCCTGGATCCATCACATACAAGACGGACAGATCCAGGTAAACCCTCCCAGTATAGTTGGTGTAAATGGTTGAATGAATGGTTGAACGAGTGGTGGAATGATTGAGCATGTAAGCGGTTGAATGATTGGTAAAAGAGTGGTTGAATGAATGACTATGCAAGTTGTTGAATGAGTGGTTGAAAGAGTGGTTGTATGAGTGAGTATGCAAGTGGTTGAAAGAGTGGTTGAATGAATGAGTATAAAAGTGGTTGAATGAGTGGTTGGAAGAGTGGTTGAATGAGTGAGTATGCAAGTGATTGAATGAATGGTTGAAAGAGTGGTTGAATGAATAAGTATACAAGTGGTTGAAAGAGTGGTTGAATGAATGAGTATACAAGTGGTTGAATAATTGGTAAAACTGGTTCAATGAAGTGGTTGAGTATGCAAGTGGTTGAATGAGTGGTTGAAAGAGTGGTTGAATGAATGAGTGTGTTGGTGGTGGAGTGAGCAGTTGAGTGGTTGAATGAGTGAGTGAACGAGCGAGCAAGGCAATCATTCCAAATCTACTATGGTGTATATTTTCACCCGGATTGATGAATCTGCTATTAATATTCTCCAACGCTCTACTATCAATATTCTACTGTGCTATGCCGTGCCCATTTGTACGATACCATACTTTATTACCCACGTGGTCAACGTATGGCTAGTTGCATACTAATCCCGTACGTCACACGAGTGTCGTATCGCGTTGACCTGTGTCGTTACGACTTGACCTGAGATTCTAACGATTTGATTGGATAACCGATGACCTCTCAGTTAGGTCACGTTGTGACGGAACTGCTTTCGCTCGGTCAGATACCATAGGAAGGACACTCGTTTCGTATAATTCGTATGTAATGAGACCTCGTGTAGTATTCTCTATATACCATACCATACTGTACCATTTTAAATGTATCATGTTCAAAATTCTGAATTGAGCTACTTTGTTATTTAACCGCCCATGCCCACTTCACCACTATATTCTTCACTGCTCCAGATATCCAGCCGGTTACTTTGTGCAGAATGTGCAGATGGACTTCTTCAACTATGGAGGGATACATCGTCATGTACGACTCTACACGACACCAAACACATACGTCGACGACGTCACCATCACCACGGATATCGCTGCAGGAAAAGGTGTCTGTAACGTGTACATTCCAGGTCTTCAGTGTGGTTGCGCGAGGACTGATACATGCCTCGGATGGGTGCAACCTGTGGCACACTCTGGCGCAGCGATGACTTAGCTCACTGCCGCAGGTTATTTTGCATATCACGTGACCGGACTTTTCTCTTGTTTGTAAACAAACGCGCATATTCGTTAGTAAGAAGATACTGGCCCAACGCAAGCGATTCGGTGCGGTCTTCATAATGTTTTACATTGTTACATAAATAATCTTCTACAACTGCGACAGTAAGGTTTATCAAAGGGGCTGGTTCGTTTGCTCTCCATAAGGCTTCGATGACAGCACGTGGAGCCGTACAACCCATGTAAACAAAGGATCGCTACGCATATCGAAATAGTGGTGCACGTTTTAGGATATTGTCTCAGTGAAACTAAACCATTCTACCATTGATGTTTAATTTGATGTGTAGACTCATCAAAAATAAAAGAGCTAAGATATATGTACAATATTTTGAATGGACTGCAAGATGTGACAAATCGTCACATTTTCTGCCTGTGGCAGAGGTACTATGCTGGCTGGCCGCATGGAACTCATTAGGAGAGTGCACATGTGGGGCAAGACACGGTCACCTCGCGAATACGTATTCGATGGTGATTCTAAATCACATGTCCATGATAAAGAATTGTGCAGAAGGAATCGCTGAACAGACATGATCACTTTAACTGTGATCTGTGAATGAGTATCGTTTATGTCACATTTAGAAATATTCTAAAAGTATTTACGATATAGGGACACCACAAACAAGCTTCATAAATTGTATTCAAGTGCAGAGTCGAACCCACGCTTTCTCGTGGCAAGCGAACGTTTTTTTCCGCCGCTAGACTGTAATTAATGAATATTGGGATCAAGTAATTGATGGTTTACAACCACGCCTTTAGCATAGATAATGGAAGACGGGAATATCAAAATACAACAAAAATTGAGTCAATGTAATCAGTTACATTGATCATAAACAACGTACAAGAAAACATATCTTGTTTCTCAGGCGTGGTCAACTACAAGGTTGAAAGTGGAGGCAGTCCCGGTGTCACCAGTGTCAACGTCGACGTAGTGGACAAAGCAGGGAATGTAGTGGGCAGCTCAGACCGCATGAGCGGAGTGATCACGGTTACAAATCCCAATCTGTGGTACCCATATACCATGACGTCCGGCACGCCTGCATATCTGTATGTATTTAAGGTGAGACTGTGAGTGAGTGAGATTATTGATACGAGAGATGGTCACAGTACTTTAGTAACCATTGCCCCAACCATTGCCAACATTTACCTAAACGTTCACGCTTGCATTTTCCTTTTCTCTCACCTTCACTCTGGACCTATCTGAAACCCATGGCCTTGCCCAAACCGAATCTGTAAGTGCTACCCTCGTCCTTGCCTCGGCTCTTACTCAAACCCTGACCCACGGCTTTACGCTCTGTCTCCTACCCTACCTTTGTCATCTCCTCAACCCTAACCTGTTGTTTTCTCACTTGTGCTAGCCCTGTCCTTCATCTAACTCTAACATAAATCCTTACCATTGCCCTTACCTAAATGCCAGCCGTATCCCTTATCATTAATCAACCTAAATCCTTACCAATGTCCTTATCATTTCCCTCACATTGCCCTTATCCAAACCCTAATTCTTACCATTGCCCGTGACCTTTTCTCTTTTTTCGCTCTGGCCCCGATTTCTCGAAAGTTTTTACTCAAATTTCAAACTGTGTTTAACAATTTGAAACAGCTGAATTTTTAACTCAACTGCATGTTTAAAATAAGAAAGCTCAAACAACTTGAGTAATCTATCCACCAAACTCAAATTGTTTACTATGTTTGAGTTTAATATTGATTGCACTTCATGCTGGAAAATGCGTTTCTCAAATTTGAGTAAAAACTCCAACTTAAGTCAAAAGTGAGACTTAAGTTTGCTTCGAGAAATCGAGGCCTGACCCTCAACCTCACCCTGTCCATCAAAGGGGACCTGGTCTTTCACACCCGTCTTGGTGGCATCATCATTTCAAGCAGATCACAAGTGTCCATTGTTGAAACGTTCTTTTTAAATTCAGAAACAATATTCGAGACGAAAACCAATAACTTTTTCAAACATTCCAATCTTATGCTTTATCAAATGAAGAACACGGGAATACCTCATCTAATATAAAGCATTTTAAAGAGTGGACTTCACTGTATTGAGTTAGATTCGAATTCATGTTTTAATTCATGAGAAATATTGTTCCAGGTGAGCCTTGTGTCTGCGACTGGAACAGACGTCTATCGTCTACCTTTCGGTATCCGCACTGTCCGAGTGACCGACTCCCAGATATTGGTCAACAGCAAACCCTTCTACTGCCAGGGTGTGGCCAAACACGAGGACTCCGACGTAAGTATAGCTCAGTCAGCACGACATCGACTGTCGTAAAAGGCCACTAACGGGATCAGGTGGTCAGGCTCACTGACATGGTTGACACATGTCATCGTATCCCAATTGCGTAGAGCGATGCTCATACTGTTGATCACTAGACTGTCTGGGCCAAAGTCGATTATTTACAGACTGCCGATATAAAGCTGAAATATTGCTGAGTGCGGCGTTAAATAACAAAGGAACAAACTACTACTACCACTCCTACTGCAACAACAACAACAACTACTACTACTACTTCCTGCTACTACCGCTTCTACTACTACTGTTAACTACTATTGCTGCTACTACTGCTACTACCACAACTAATACTACTACTACCACGACTACCACTACTACTACCTACTACTACTACGACTACGACTACTACTACTATTACTACAGCTACTACTACTACTGCCACTATTAATACTACTTCTATTACTTCTTTATATGGTCGTCATATAAGGCGAAATATTCTCGAAGCAGGACGTAAATCCCAATTTCACCTCACCTCACCTCTTCTTTATGTAGATAAGAGGAAAAGGCCTGGACTATGCGCTGATCGCCAAGGACTTCAACCTGCTCAAATGGATGGGGGTCAACTGTTTCCGGACATCCCACTACCCGTACGCCGAGGAGATCATGGATCAGGCAGACCAGCAGGGCATCATGGTCATTGACGAGAGTCCGGGAGTCGGGATTGATGAGTGGGTCTTAATTAAATCAAAGTGTTCTCAATGTAAACCCAGTGGTGATAAAACAACTTCAAATTTTAACAAATGCTGCATTCGGGATAACACGTTCTTATTAAAGAACGAATTCACTTTTGGTTTTTGAGTTGAGTCCCACCCGGGACTCGATCCCTCAGTACGTCCATTCAGTAACCGAAAGTAGCAATGCTTCTATAATATGTAATCTTTTAGTCTGTTAACAGCATTACTATGCTGAATGTGAGCAAACATATTTTAACCTATCATTTGATAAAGAGCTAAGGTTGTATTTTTTAGCCACCTGTAAGTGGAAAGTATACTATACCAAAAAAGAAACGCATAGGTGTATTTTAAAAAATCTATTAATTACCTATTGTGTTCAAACAATCGTCAAAATATGCAACAAAAGTGTTGATAACATGATTTTACACAATTGAACAAGTCAAAAATCGACTTTACCTAAAAATGTTGATTTTGATGAGATTTCTTACAAGGATTAAAAGGCGTCGCCACAACGCAACAAAAATCACCGTCAAGTTGAAATTGTGCAGCAAGGAGCATGCACTGTCTGGCTATAAAAATCCAGATTACTTTCGGAAATCGGCATTTGTTTTGAAGGAGTTTCAAGGACAAATCACTACGTCACGTCTTTACGCTGAGACACGGAACATCGCCATTGAAAGAATGCACGCTGGAGATTATCAATTTTCTGTTGCCAGGCGTCTGAACGTTAGTCTGAGCACGATATCACGGCTTGCAGCTCGCTACAACCAAACAGGTATAAAAAATGACCGTCCCCGTACAGGCAGACATCGAGTCTTCACTGCAGCCCAAGATCGGTACATCCGGGTACTACATTTGCGTGATCGTACTGCCACGGGTGAGAGCACAGCAGCCATTGTGGTGCCTGGACTTCGGAGGATATCCGGTCAAACTGTACGGAACAGGTTGAGAGAGATTTGACTGAGAGCCAGGAGACCCACCATCGCGCTCAACATCTCCGTTTTCTAAAATTATCCAATTGGTTGTATAGACATTTCCTTCTTCTAAACTGATGTAAAGATTCAAGTACTAAAGTCCATTTGTGGACGAGTTATACATGTTAGAAAATACATCATTTTCGCTTCAGGTTTCTGGCCTATGGGTTTCTTTTTTGGATAGTATACATTGGCGTAAGCAGTCAAATTTCCATTGAATTATGTCAATATGTATTAGTTGAACCATGCCAGGCTTTGCATGCATATGTTGATTGGCTGTTGAATATTTAAATATTTGTTAAAATATATAAAGTAACTATAGAAGTCAAGGGGAACACATCTGGGTGTAACCTGACGTATACTGTGTGTTTCCTGAGGTCGCGTTTAGCCAATAATTGTGTGTTCCAGAAATGAAAACTTCAGCAACATTTCGTTGACGCATCACCTTGACGTGATGACCGAGCTGGTGCAGAGAGACAAAAACAGGCCCTCGGTGTTCATGTGGTCTGTCGCCAACGAGCCCAGGACTGACAAAGCTATATCGGAGGCATACTTCAAAGTGAGATGAATGTACCTGTACATATGTATGCTCTGTACTGTGTTAGTTAGCTAGTTAGTTGACGTATAACGCCGCACTCAGCTAAGTAAGCAGTATATGACGGCGTTGGGTAAATAATGGCTTCTGGATCAGACATTTCTAGCACGACATTGTGTGATACTCGATTCTGATTGGCTTAGAGATCATCAAACCGTACTTAAATGGCAGTTTAAGACCGCTAATTAAAGTGACCGATTCACCGCGTATGAATACAACGAACTCGTTGACATCGGCAATTTCTATCTCGGCAGCATCTTTGGTGTTTTTTAAGTAAAACGCTAATGGTTTTGAAGAAGAATTTCTTGACCCTAATCCCAGTGAAGAAACTACGAAGCTGGAAAATCCGTCAGCAGCGCGTAAAAAGCGGCGGTATATTTAAACCGGGTCCAGATCTACGTGTGTTGACGTCGACAACACGTCGATAACTATCCTACCTGACCGCTTCCGTCCCGGCCGTAATACCCAGTCCTTCCACTTCCACTCCATGTATCCCACATAAAGAGCGTGGCATGTCAGGTCCTTTCAAATTGGGAATAGTAGAGATACAGTGGTTATCAACAATTATTTCCGTGAATAAAGTTAGCGGCGACTAAACTTAGCGAGTTCACGGCTTGAATTTGGGGCAAGTCGATTGTCATACAGTAGGGGGATCAATAATTCGCTTGAGAAAAATCAAATAATTTACTTGCTCACGAAATTATAAACCGTATTTGTATTTACTTATGTAATGCTTTACGCTTGTTACAAAATGCAGGGCATACTGGTTCCTGAAATAAAAGCATTTACGTTGTTGAAAATGTGTGATCGTGCAGAAAGTGCTCAATGTTAACTGTGAATGTAAATCCAAACATTACTTTTTCTGTTTTTAATATGTTGTTTTCTGGCTAGGTCAGTTATTGGTCACACGAGGAGCCTGGATGCCACACGACCGGTCACCTTTGTATCAGACCAAAGACATTCAAATGTAACAAAGCCGTAAAGACCGCTGCCGCTGCTACTACTACTGCTGCTGCTACTGCTACTGCTGGCTACTACTACTGCTGCCGCTACTACTGCTACTACTGCTGCTACTACTACTGCTACTGCTACTGCTACTACTGCTGCTGCTGCCTGCTGCTGCTGCTGCTGCTGCTGCTGCTACTGCTACTGCTACTGCTGCTACTGCTGCTGCTGCTGCTGCTGCTCACTGCTGCTACTGCTGCTGCTGCTACTGCTACCGCCTGCTGCTACTACTGCTGCTGCTGCTACTGCTACTGCTGCTACTGCTGCTACCTGCCACCGCTACTACTGCTGCTGCTACTGCTGCTACTGCTACTGCACTACTGCTACTGCTACTACTGCTGCTCGCTACTGCTACTGCTGCTGCTACTACTGCTGCTGCTGCTGCTGCTGCTACTGCTACTGCTACTGCTGCTGCTGCAACTACTGCTGCTGCTGCTGCTGCTACTGCTACTGCTACTGCAACAGCAGCTACTGCTGCTGCTGCTACTGCTACTGCTACTGCTGCTGCTGCTGCTGCTGCTGCTGCTGCTGCTGCTGCTGCTACTACTACTGCTACTACTACTGCTGCTTGCTGCTGCTACTGCTACTGCTGCTACTACTACTGCTGCTGCTGCTACTGCTGCTGCTACTGCTGCTGCTGCTACTGCTGCTGCTGCTGCTGCTGGCGCTGCTGCTGCTACTGCTGCTGCTACTGCTGCTGCTGCTGCTACTGCTACTGCTGCTACTGCTGCTGCTGCTGCTACTACTACTACTGCTGCTGCTACTGCTGCTGCTGCTGCTGCTGCTGCTGCTGCTACTGCTGCTGCTGCTGCTACTGCTACTGCTGCTGCTGCTGCTGCTACTGCTGCTACTACTGCTACTGCTACTACTGCTGCTGCCTGCTAGCTACTACTGGGCAGCTACTGCTTTGCTGCTACTACTGCTTCCTGCTGCTGCTGCTGCTACTACTGCTGCTGCTGCTGCTGCTGCTTGTTTGGGCTGCTGCTGCTACTACT